AGGCTGGGGGGCTCTCTCTGTAAATCAGAGCTGCATTTGGCCATTTCTGTAGAGAAAATGCATGGCAACCTCCCCTCTACCAGATCTGAGAATTGACATACCGCTGTTGTTAGAAAGCAAGGCAAATTAGTATGAAATCAGAATAGGTCTCAGTAAAGAATGAATAAAGGAAAACCCAGCATAAGTTCTAAAAAAAACCACCAATGAAACAATGAAAGGAAATGTCACCCTGAAGCCTTAGAGGACAAGCTCACACCCCTGAGAGAAACTCTGCAGCAGCCGGAAAAAAAAGTACCAGGAAATTTGCCTCCACTGCCCAATGCCAGAAAATGACCCCCCGTGAAGGGGTGGCTGGAGGTCACAAGGGAAGATAAAGTTAACTGGAAAACCATAGGATGAGATGCAAAGGGAAATGGATAAAACAACGAAGTACTTCAAGTAAACCAGACACACAGTGATAGAATTAAAATCCATCCTAGAAATCACATTACATGGAGACAGTAATACAGAATCCCAAATTGAGAAGCTCTTCCAGAGGAAAATCAAAAAGAGATGTATGAGGTGAAGGAAGATAATAATATGAAAAATTCTCACAAGCAATGATTTCATAGGCTATGTCATCTTACCACAATGCAATTAAACTAGACTTTTGAGTAAATGTTTAATAAAAGAGGATGCTTGAAAATTAACAACAGTAGTACTGTCCCAAAACATTAGTGCTTCACTCATGATCACTTGTGTTCTGGGTTATCATAAAAACAAATCTTGCAGTTGCCCAAGTGATCCACTTCAGTATTTCTTTACTTGTTTGTAAACTCCCAGGAGGAGCATGGGAAGTTTTCCCCTGAGTTTATCTAAACAGTGTCTATTTTGTTTGGACCAGTGATGATAGCTCACAGTACATTTTTCCTCCTAGCATAGAACTATGTGCTTTCTTCCATTTTTGACACTTTTCAAAAACACTTTGATAAACACCCAAATCTGAAGACAGAATTGAGGGGCAGGGGGTGGAATGACTGGAGGACACATTACCCAAAAGAGGACAAGGCAGCTTGTTCTATGTCACTTGTGTCCGGGATGGTGCTTCCCATTTTCCTCCTACCCTGCCTTAGTCTGCTTGGGCAGCTGTAACAAAATAGCACAAAGTTGGGAGGTTAAACAACAGAGATACATTTTTCACAGTTCTGGAGGCTGGAAGTCCAAGGTCAAGGTGCCTACTAATTTGGTTTCTGGTCAGAACTCTCTTCCTGGTTTGCAAATGGCTTCCTCTTGCTGTGTTATCACATAGCTTCTCTGCCCTGTATATGTACAAAGGAAAAGATTCTCTCTTTCTCTCTCTCTCTCTTTCTCTCTCTCTCATCCCCCCTCTCTCTTTCTCTTCCTGTTGTTATAAGGTCACCAATCATATGGGATTAGGACCTTGCCCTTACGATCTCATTTAACTTTAATTACCTCCTAAAAGCCCTACCTCAAAATACAGTCACATTTAGAGTTAGGGTTTCAACATCCCAATTTAGAGGGGATATAATTTAGTCCATAGCATGATCATAAACAAATATCAAAATTTCTTAGCATGCTGGCGCAGACCAATAAGCATCCTGATTCCATGAATAGAAAGATGTCCCATGAGAGCTGAGTGACAACCACGATGACTCACTGGGGGGTGGGGTGGGGGTGGGAGTAGACTTAGTCAGTTCTGCAGTGCCCACTGCGGGCTGACCTGGGGCCCGATAGGTCAGCCCATTTCTTTTTACCACCTTATCAGCAGAAAGAAGGACAGAGCTTGACATTTTTTTCTTAATTTATACTCCCAATTTTTTAAAACTGTATAAAAAGATCAGGGAACAAACCCATAAATACAAACTGGAATAAAATAGATTAGTATCAATCATGACTCTAGAATGATTGTTCTTGACAGAAAATCTTAAATTACTTTAAAGCCCATAAATATAAATAAATTTACAAATTCATGAATGATTTCATGTCATTAAGGCTCTGATTTTTACATATGAATTTCTTCAGTAAGATGAAAATGATATATTTTAAACATCTGTTTCTTTTGTTTTGATGATGAAGTTTGAATAAGGGATGGAGGTGCTAGTTTGGTCAGCTTCAAAATCCCTGAGAACATTTATCTAATTGTAAGATTGACTTCAGACTTCAAAATATTCTTGACTCCTGAAATACACTTTCTACTTTAAAAAGCCTTTAATTTGTTGGAGCAGTTTTAGGTCCACAGCAAAATAGAGAGGAAGGTCCAGAGACTTCCCATACATCCTGGTCCCCACACATGCACAGCTTCCCCCCATCATCAGTATCACTTGCAAGAGCGGTAAGTTTGTTACAGTTGATGAACCAACGCTGACTCATCATCATCACTCAAATACCATAGTTTATATTGGGGTTCACTCTTGGTGTTGTACATTCCATGGGTTTGGACAAATGTATAATGACCTTGACATGTATCCATGATTATATTATTATTTAGAGTATTTTCACCATCCTAAAATCCCCTGTGCTCTGCCCATTCTTTTTGTTTCCCCTCCAACAATCCCTGATCTTTTTACTGACTCCACAGTTTTGCCCTTTCCAGAATGTGTGTAGTTGGAATTATATAGTGTATAGTATTTTCAGATTGGCTTCTTTCACTTAGTAATATGGATTTCATTTTCCTTCATATTCTTTCATGGTTTGATAGTCATTTCTTTTTAGCCTTGAATAATATTCCATTGTCTGGATGTACCACAGTTTATTTATCCATTCATCTGCTGAAGGACATCTTGGTGCCTGCTAAGTTTTAGCAATTATGAATGAAGCTGCTATAAATATCCCTGGGCAGGTTTTTGTGTGTATGTAAGTTTTCAACTCCTTTGGGTAAATTCCAAGGATCACTATATGTTGCTGGTTCATGTGATGAGAGTATATATAGTTTGTGAGAAACTGCCAAATATCTCCTGAGGTGGCTGCACCATTTGGTACCTCAGTAGCCATGAATGAGATTTCTTGTTCTTTCACAACCTTCTCAGCATTTGGGGTTGTCAGTGATCCAGATTTTGGCTGTTCTGATGGGTGTATAGTGGTATCTCATTGTTTTGATATCCTTTTTTTAAATATTAATGTTACTGATAACTTTCAGTGGCTGAGAAGACTGAAAGTTATAATTCGAGGGGGAAATACGGTCTATTTCATAAGGTTTCTGAATAATTCAATGTCTAGATACATTGAAGAAGTCAACTGAAAAGTCACATAGAAACAAACAAAAAAGTAAGGGTTTAAACAATACTACACTTTTAGTTTGTAAGAATTCTTAAAGTTTCCTCAGTAGTTTCATCAGTAAGTTTAAGGATGGTAATTATAATATTTATTTAGATAATTAATACTATTTTTAGTTAAAGCTAAAAGCCAGAGCAACTATTAAGATAATCAATGTAAATCTTCCTGTGGAAGAAGAAAAGGAGAAAATATCAGTGAACAAATCAAATAACAAATCAAATCCAGCTGCTATAAAATTACTGAAAATCCCAGAGTCTCATCATCATTTGACACAAATTCTTTCACACTTCTTTATTAACAAAAAACTGCTAAAATGAATATTTTTATCGGCAAATGAAATTAGAATTAGTCAAAATGAACAGGAAATCAGGAGGGCTTTCAGGCTCTAAAGCTGTTTTTCCAATGGTTTGTATTTTATAGTGTGTGTATATGTATGCCCATAAGATAATTAAATTATACAGGTTATTTGGTGATTTGATAAACAGCTTTGGTTTTCCATTGCATTCCTTATTTTGTAGGAGTAGAAGCAGGTGGTAGAGGCAGGACTGGAATAGAAGTAGTGCTGGATTTTCACAACATGATTGCTGTCTGTCAGGGGTTCTAGTTTCTTTATCTGAAATGAAGGGTTTAAACCTAGGTGATTTTTGAAATCTTTTAGGGAATGCAGATTTTGTGGTTGTTTAGCTCCTCATGGCACTCCCTATTTCTCAACAAAGCCCTTGACTCAACTTCCATGGCAAACTTAATGAGAAGCCATTAAAAATGAAACTGCTGTTTAGGGAGTCCACACATATTGGCTCAACTGTGCATAAAAGCAATGATGCTGTGAGGTCACTGGGCTTTAGAGGACTCTGGTACCATAAGGCCAGAAAAATCTAGAAAGTCCTCCAAGGCCTGCTGTGTAGGGTATGTTACCAAGCTTGTTCTCAACATCTCTGTCTAATAGTAGATCTTTGATTTCTTTTTTGAGGCCACAACATATATGTCTTTAAAAAAAAACCCTAAAAGACATGGGTTTTCCTTACATGAAAGTAAAATGTGTTTCACATTTTATGTGTTGGCCTTGGTCCAAATTAAATAATCTGGTAAAGTCATTAAAGGAATTTAAGACTTTAAGCACTGTTCTCATTGTTCCTCTTCTCTGGGCAAGCTTACTACCTAAAAGCTTATTTTAAAAGAGTTTCTTTAGGTACAAAAAGTGCTATGAACTCTTGTTGCTTAACTGCAAATTTTGTCAGATGTTCTACTTTTCCCTGTCTTTCCCAACTTCTTGCTTCTTGGATCTTGAAGGAATATTTGGTAATTGGTTATTCTCTTTCTTTTGGTGTAAGACAGCTTCTCAAAGACAAACTGAGAGGCCTAATAAGGCTATTTTGTCTTTAAACAGTTGTGACTTATCTCTTGTATATTAAAAATCTAGCTAAAACACTGAGTTAGAGTTGAAACATGGAAAATCATCTTTCCCCTCCCCCATAGTGGAGATGATTTCTTATCCTAGAGCTATGAATGGACTGCAAATGGGAAACAGACTATTCTTACTGAATTTAGCAATTTCGATGGACCATTTTAGCACTTACCTGCTCTTGAATATGCCTCATTTATGTCTTTTAGGTAGTAATGGTGTAACTAATGATAGATCATTTTAACCAGAATGCTAGGGGTATGTGGAATTAGAGTTGCAGTTTATCTTAGTTGTACTCTAATATATATGTTTTCTTTTCCTACAGCTATGTGGTATTTTCATCCTGGCAGTGTCAATTTGGATACGAGTGAGCAAAGATGGTCAACAGGTAAATAAATAAATATTGTACAAGCTGCTCTGATCCCAAAGTAGTTTATTTTTCTTATAATGATCAAAGTAATGACAATAATAATAAATATTTCTACAGCATTTTCCTTACCTGCCTCATATGGTTTTTGCATTGGTATGTGATTTTATTATTTAGTTCAATTTAATTGATCAAAGATCTTCACTATGTGCCTGGCACCATACTGGGCATGGGTCAATCCTGAAAAATGGAGAAGGTGCTATTGCAAAAGCAGGAAGATCACAATGAAAGTGGATGTGGGAAGGGGCCAAACTGAAAATTTATTAGCTTAGGACAAGCCTAACGTGTAGCTGGAGGATACAGACTACCTTTCTTCCAGACCAAGAATGATTTTTGTAGTATACTGTATTGGCAATAACTTGGCTGATCCCAAGATGGGATGATGGTTCAAAAGGAAAGAAGGTGAGAAGTTCTCTTAGAGAAGATTTTGAATCTGTTTTAAAGGCAACAATATACAAAGATAGTTGGTCATAACCTGCAGCAATTGGCAATGAGGGTAACCCCTTATGACAGTAAGAGGCTGGTCACCTGGGTGTAACTCTGCAGCTGGCTGGGGATCTCCAGCTTCCTGCTATCTAAGTAGGATTAGCATGACCCGCTTCCCACCACCATACACCTTCCATGTCCTGTGGTAAAGCTCTTACCAAGACTTCCACAGGCCTGGAGGATGTTTAGTTCATATAGTTGGTTCTGGCTCCAGTCTTTGGATTCCACATGCGCTGTTTCTGTTTCACATCAGTGTTGCAAATGTGGAAGGACTGTGTGTGGGGAATAAGGGTGAGGGTGTGGGAGCGTCGTTCTGTTAGTTTTACCCAGCCTCACACCTGGCACCATTTCCTGGCCCTCCTGCTTCCATTCTTCTCTCTGCCTTCTTTTCAGGTACACTCCACTTCAAATGACTTTTCCTACTGCACACAGCACAGTTTTCTTGCTCTTTGTCGTCTGAGTTCCTGCCACTACTCAGGATCACATTACCTAGTGCTAGGGCCTTTCCCAAGTATTTTCCCAAAAACTTTTTCTAAAAAGAATGCTGATTCTTATTTGATAATTATTAAGTTATTATTAAGCTGGCAATTAAGGTTAATGCATTTTTAAAAATTAACTTTTATTTTTAAATTTTTCAGTTGCATTTGACATTCAATATTATATTAGTTTCAGGTGTATGGTGTAGTGGGTAGACACTTATATAAATTATGAAGTGATCCCCCAGTAAGTCTAATACCCCATACATAGTTATTACAGTATTATTGACTTATATTCCTTATACTGTACAGGTAATGCATTATCTATTGAAACTAATTATACTATGATGCAGCTAAATGCCTTTGGACATAGCCTAGTTGAGACAAACATTAAAAGAAAATGACCACCTGTTCTGAATGGGTGGCTTTTTCCTCCCTTCCTTCCTTCCTCCCTTCCTTCCTTCCTCCCTCCTCCCCTCCCTCCCTTCCCTCCTTCTTTTACTTTTATTTCTTCTCTTTTAAAATCATGCTTTCTTCCATTGAGAACCCAGAGAATCCCAATGGGAATTAACAGCCTCCTCATTCTGTGTCTCACTGTGATGAAGAAATTGGGTGAGGGACAGGTAAGGCAACTAGTTGCTAACATCTTAGTCCATCAGGATTTCATTTATTGTTTTAAGCTGATGTGACTTCCTAATGTCTTTTGGATTTGAGCCTGTCAATGGTATTTGAAGATGTATGGAATCTCTGTTGTCTAGAAACTGATGTCTGACATTGGGACTCAAATTAAATACAGAGATTAATAGCCACCTATGGCCTTTTTAAGATGTATGTACAGCCTGCATTATTTTATTTTATTTATTGCTTATTTTTTCTAGTTGATATGGGAACTGTTTCTTTTCCCCCAGTGTTTCTGGTAAACAAATTTGGTGTTCAGTTTATTCAGAAATTACCCACATTGAATATCGTACAAGAGGACTGTTGTCCCTGAGAGGGTGTTACTCCACATCTGGGAATAAGAATAAATTAGTAGAGCTAGATAGCATCTTTAGTCATATTTTAGCTCTTGTGCTCTGTCAGCTTCTAACTTTGTTGTCAGTGTCTGCCAGGACAGTATTAACCAGCTTGACTTATGTGAAATTGGCTTGATTTATATTTATCTTTATATTTATATTTATATTTATATTTATATTTAAATATATATTTATATTTATATTTATATTTATAAATATATTTATATTTTTTTATATTTATATTTATTTATATTTATAAATATAAATATATTTATAAATATATTTATATATTTATAAATATGATTTATATTTATATTTATCTTGATTTATATATTATTTATATTTATATTTATAAGGGATAAAGAATCCAGGCTTTGCAAAGAACTGAATTTTACTAGCAGAAAAAAGTAGTAGCAATTTTGGAAGGAGAAACATGAGCATAAACACTGAAAAGAGGGATGTCAGGGAGGTGTATGTGAACATCTCTTATCTCTTTGCACTAAAATGTTTCCTAGGTATGCTTTGTTCTCCTTCAGGATAAACTCAACATTGTGAGGCAAAGCATAGGGGCAGCCAGCCATCCTTGACCCAAGAGATCACTTAGAATCCAAAGAGGACCCTGAGCCTTCTTTCAGGTTCAGCTCTTCCTCTTTCTTTACAAATTCTCCCCTTTTTCCAAGACACACTCAGATACTGTTCATCCAAGACAGCTTTTAGCACTCAGTTGCCCCTCCCCTATAACAAACACTTGAACTCAGATTTCTACTTCTTTTCTGAGTAAGAAAAGACACTTGTTAGGCTGGACTTATAATGGAGACCCTCAAGCCAACACACTGCTTTCTGACTAGTCTTTGGTTGTGGGCCATCTGCCCAGGTCAGATAGAAGTGCTTCATTAGCTGGCAGAATAAGTGCTGGCCACATCATCCAGGTCTCACTTGTAGATACTTGACCTATTATTTTTCCGTCTGAGCTAAGCAAAGTTGTTTTTTTTCTCTCTTTTGTTGATTTTAGAGAAAGGGGCAGGGAGGAAGAAAGAGAAGGAGGAAAACATCAATGGGAGGGAAAAACACTGATCTGGTTGCCTCTTACACACGCCCCTACTGGGGACTGAACCTACAACCCAGGCATGTGCCCTGACAGGGATTCAAACCAGCCACCTTTCAGCTTACAAGATGGTGCCCAACTAGCTGAGCCATACTGGCCAGGATACAAAGTTCTGAGAGGCTTCAACCCTTTCAGATGCCTTGCAGGGGTGTCCAACCTGTGGCCCACAGGCTGCATGCCACTCAGGATGGCCATGAGTGCAGCCCAACACAAAACTAAATTTATTTAATACATTATGAGATTTTTTTGATTATGTGTTGCAGTGTATCTATGTGTGGCCCAAGACAACTCTTCTTCCAGTGTGGCCCAGAGATGCCAAAAGGTTCAACACCCCTGCTAGGATTTGCCTATGCTGGCCACAGCATTCTGGTGAAGCAGTATTTGATGGGGAGTGGGTAGAGTGGGTTTCCTAATGCTATTTTTTTTTGTTATTTTCTGTCTGACCCAGATACCATGGCTGCTTATCAACAAAACTGATTTCTTAGCTCCAATCCTAACAAATAAATAAACAACAATCAAACATAAAACATGAAAAATGAACAAAATATTTTTAGGACATATGTCAGTGGAAAGGATTCTAAATGTGTAAATTGAAACATAATCTGTAAGCACAGACTCTTAGAGACAAAAGAGGCCTTAGATATCATAGAGGCTGACCTAATTCTCTTTATAAATGGGAAACTGGGGCCCAGCAGGGTTAGTTTGACCATTTCAGTAATAGAAACTGAGTTATACAGTAGGACCTGCTGGAATACAGATCTTCGTTCCAATGCTTTGACAACTTTAGCACATTCTTTCCTACTGATTGTCCAATAAAGGTTTCTTCTAGACTATGGATTGCTTTCAAATGTCATTTAAAATGTAAAGATCGTTCACAGTGGTGGTTTTTTGTTTGTTTGTTTGTTTGTTTGTTTGTTTTGGTATTTCCTGTAAGGGAGCTGAACTACAATGATATGTAGAAGATTCTAGAAGAAGAGTCTCTGAGTTAGTATAAGAACTAATGCTCTACCTAGACTAGAAATAGAAATAGAAATAGAAATAGAAACAGATAGAGGTTTTACAAGAAAGATGGGCTACTTGTGGCACTCAAGTATAACACCAGCACAAGGTTTCACTTTTGGATTATTATGTACTTCTGGATATATCTAGAGGACAAGTGGTAGATTGAGGCTAGGTGCTATGAAGGTGAAGAAGGGTATGTGTGGGGAAGAAGAAATTAATTATGCAGGTTGTATAACTCACCCACCACAAAGGGCCCTATGAATTTTCCCTCAATATCTCATTACTTAACAGTCAGGCAAAATGAAGAGTTTCTGGATGACTCCATGGACTATATCTTCTGGGAACACGGAGATAGAATTGACATAGAATTTCAGGCACTAGACTATTTTTTCTTATTTTAAATTTTTTGTTTGTTTTGGCAAATGCCTAGGTCTATGAAATTACCATTATGATCAATATATAAAGGATTTTATTAACCCATAAATGTTCCCTCATTGCTTTGCAGTCAGTTCCTCCTTTCCCTCCTTCCAAGCTAGAGATCAAGCCCTGCTCTGACTTCTGTCACCGTGGCTTAGACTGACCTATTCTTGATCATCATATAAATGGGATCATACAGCAACCACTCTGTTGAATATGGCCTACTTAACTCAACATAATGTTTTTGAAGTTCATTCATATTGTTGGGTCTGTCACTAGTTTGAGGAACTTGAGCTTTATAATTAACTTAATTACCATAAAACACATGCATTACAATATTACTCTTATGTACAAAACACAAAATATACAAACCAAAGAGCCCATCATGTATGCAAGTACATCTTCTAAATTCAAAATAATTGGTGTTTTAAAAGCCTATTACATTGCTCCCATCCAATATCCAATATATCACCTTAGAAAAATACAAAGTTGGAAACATTATTCAGACAAGTTACATCTTAATAGAATGTAAGCTCACCGAGGGCAGACATTTTTGCTGGTTTAGATCACTAAAGTATCTCAAGGTCCTGAAACAGGGCTTGGAACATAGTAGGTACCCGGTGGATTTCTGTTGAATAAAAAACAGCAAGGAAAATGATTTTTCTGTTTTCTCATCTGTTTTCAGCTTCTCAGTGGTGGGGAATCTGGCATCAACCCCTATGTTGGTGTGAATATCTTGATTGCTGTCGGCGCGACCATCATGGTTCTGGGGTTCCTGGGATGCTGTGGTGCCATAAAGGAGAGCCGCTGCATGCTTCTGCTGGTGAGTTTCTCAGGCAAATCCCAACGCCCATCCCCACTGTCTGTCAAAAGGACTTGCCAAGACTGATGCCACTCTAACTTCTATTTATAGGGGTTGATGTGGAAGCTGATATGTTTAGCTTAGAATAGAGGCTACCCTGAGAGAAGTCAGATTTTAGCCTTCATTTATTCGCTATTACTGAGTACCTGCTACATGAACTAAACAATGCAGAGATGTTGAGACCATTAGAATCCATTAAGGAAGACAGGCAAATAAATGATTAGCTACAGTGGGAGTGGCCCATGAAGAAAATGGCCCATGAAGGATATAGGAGGGAACTTCAAGGCAGAACCAGAAGTGAATAAGGTGTTTGTGCAGGTGAGGTTGTGATAAGCTTTCAGCAGGGTGGGGGGGGGGGGCTAGGAAACCTGCCTATTTGGCAGGGGCTTGGGTATGGCTGGAGTGGCAGAGGCTATTTTTAGCAAATGATAGGAGATGGGTCTGAATATGTACTGTGGCAAAAATCATATTTCATGGTAAAAAAAATTGTAAGGAAGTAAGATAATCATATCTGTTACTTCGAAAGCGTCAAGGAAGATGGATTGGGTTGGGATAACCCAAAGACTTCACTTTTATAATATATAGAATAATATGGATATACAGTTCCATTTTTAGTTTTCTGAGGAAATTCCATACTGTTTTCCACAGTGCCTGCACCAGTCTGCATTCCCAACAGTGCACTAGGGTTCCCTTTTCTCCACAACCTTGCCAGCACTTGTTTGTTGATTTGTTTATGATGGCCTGCCTTTTGACCCAGCAATTTCACTGCTGGGATTATACCCTAAAAACCCTGAAACGCCAATTCAAAAGAACTTGTGCACTGCCAGTGGTAATGGCAGTGTTATTTACAATAGCCAAGGGCTGGAAACAGCCTTAGCACCCATTAGTAAATGAGTGATTCAAAAAATGTGGTACATTTACACAATGGAATACTACAAAGCAGAAAGAAAGAAGGAGCTCCTACCCTTCCCAATAACATGGATGGAATGCTGGAGAGCATTATGCTAAGTGAAATAAGCCAGGCAGTGAAAGACAAATACTGTATGATCTCACCTATAAGTATAACCTAATAAACAAAACAAGTGAGCAAAATATATCCAGAGACTTTGAAACAAAGAACAAACTGACAGTGACCAGCGGGGAGGTGGAAGGGGATAATGGGAAAGAAGGGGAAGGGTCAAGACAAGGAACACGCATAAAGAATCTGTGAACAAGGATAATGGGGGAGGGGTTGAATGTAGGTGGGGGTGGTGATTAGGGCAGGGGAGAGCAATGGGGAAAAAGGGGGATAACTGTAGCTGAACAACAATGAAAATATTTTTTTTAAAGAATGAAATAAGCCAGGCAGTGAGGGATAAATACCATACAATCTCACCTTTAACTGGAACATAATCAGCAAAAGAAAAAAGCAAACAAAATATAACCAAAGACATTGAAATTAAGAACAATCTAACAATAACCAGAGGGGAGGGCAGAGGGGAGAGTGGTGAGAAGTGTTTCCAGGAACTACTATAAAGGACACATGGATAAAACCAAGGGGGAGGATGAAAGCAAGGGAGGGGAGTGGGTTTGGCTGGGGTGGGGGGAAAATGGAGACAACTGTAATTGAACAACAATAGAATAATTTAAAAAAATGAATATAGGAAAAACATTAAGTATCCCTTAGATATAAATCTGACATAAAAGTTTATCAGAGTTCACCTAAACTTGTTTCTCTCATAAAATAGGTATTGTGTCAGTCCCTGAAAAAAATACTTGTTAAGTGTTTGCTTATTATGAGGGAAAATAGGGACAGAGTTTTAACCACTATTATCATTCATAGTGATTGCTTTTAGATTACTAAGGCCTCATTTGCAATTGAGAATTTAATTACTTGAAGAGTTTGCTTAAAAAAAATTAGTTTGTGGGCTGTATTCTCCAAAATTATGATTTCATCAATCTGAGGCAGGTTTCAGGAATCTGTACTGATCACAACACCCCAGTGATTCTGATAGTGGCAGAACCATTGTTTTGCAGTCAGTTCTGAAGTTTGTTCTGAACTTTGTGTTTGATGAAAAAAGAGGACAAAGATAATATTCAGATAATTTCATCTAAGTTTTTAAACTTCCCATTCAACATCACACTGATGCCTACAATTCTATAAATAAATTTTCTTTTTAACTACTTTCTATGGTCAGTCTTTGGAGCAAATATTTCTGAGTAGTAATGGTTCCAAAATTTGCTTCTTAGGGCAAAGGGTAGAATAAATAAAGAGTGTGGTTACTACTTCAAATTGTAATATGCTCCAGACTGCAGAAAGAGACATCATGCTGAAATGTTCCAAGGTGTTACTGAATGCACTGGGGATAACATATATTCCTTTTTGTCTTTTGTTTTTTCAGTTTTTCATAGGCTTGTTTTTGATCCTGCTCCTTCAGGTGGCAGCAGGTATCCTAGGAGCTGCCTTCAGATCTGAGGTGTGTATACAGATGGCATTTGATAATTCTGGAAAAGTCTGAAAAATAGATATACTACCTTCTGGCATGAAAAAATTAATGATATTTTTTAATTTTCAGTCTGAGAAAATTCTGAATGAGACTCTCCATAAAAATGTAGAGCTTTTGAGTGCAACAACTGAAAATGCAGAAGTATTCCAGAAAACCTTGAGTGAATTTCAAGAAGAGGTAATTAGAATTTGTAGGTCATTTGGGGAGTTACACATAGTTCTTCTGTGTTTACTTAATTTTTAACAGATGGATTCCTTAAAGGTTAAAAAATATTTCCATTTTGCAGATTTTGACTGCTTATTCTGTTGCAATGCAATAAGGAACATCCAATAATATTTCTATTTTTTTCCAGCATCTTACAAAGTTCTAAAGCAGTTTAGAAGGACAGAGATTAAGATATGTTTATGACAGATTAAGCCTCAGTTGGACCAAATTAATCATTGTTTTAATATTTATAGTATGTTTAGGGAGTTTGGAGAGTCAGTCTCTCCTCTCTCCACCCCCACCCCCTTTCTCTCGCCATGACTGTTTCCTCTCTCATAAAGATAATTACAGCAGTTCTCATTAAGTACCAGGCTTTACATTTAGTAGCTCACTTAAATCTCAACCCTATGAGGTGGTTAATATAATTATTCTCATTATCCCCATTTGACAGGTGAGGAGATTAGGGCTTAGAAAGGTCTGACAGCTAATAAATGATAGGGTTGGAATTTGAACCTGGATCTGACTAGTTAACACTTTTTAATAAGTACGCAAGACCCTCATTAGTTAGTTACTGTATTTTTTGGATCATAAGATGCACATCCCCCCCACACACACACACACACAAATTTGGGAGGAATAATGGTTGCTAATGCTGCTGTTGAGTTCTGTTCACATTTACATTGCTGAAATATTATGTTATTTATGTTATGAAATATTTTACCACATTTTTTGCTTCAAATTTTTTTTCCTATTTTCCTTCTCCAAAACCTAGGTGTGTCTTATGGTCCGAAAACTACGTTACTTAGCTTGTTTGTGTATTTATTTAAACTGCTTTGCTATCTTTCGGGTAAAGTCAAAACTTGGGCAAGCATTGAAAGTATTTGCTGTCTGGCTCCTACCTAATATTTTAGATTTCTGAAAGTATGGCTCCATAATGCAAACACTCTAATCCAGCTAGGTTTGTCTCCTCGGGATGCTTTAAACAATTCCACCTTTCTTTCCTTGCATTGTTCCTCATCTTTAGAATGTACTTACCACTCTTCTCTTTCTTTTCAAATATTGCATGTACTTTGAAGCTTGGCTGAAATATTACTTACTCTGTGGAGCTCCTTTCAACCACACCTCTCAGTTATATCCAAGTCTGATCATTAGTGTGTTCTTTCTTAATTTGAAACAAAATCTGCCTCTCTAGAATTTGTATCACTTAGTACTAGCTCTTCCTTCTGGAGTTTCAGAAGTAAAAAAAAAAAAAAATCTACTGATAGTTTTATACATTGCAACTTTTTCTTTGAAGACATCCTTTCTTGAGCAATTTACCAGATGATATTTTTTTTCCCAGTTCCTATTTGGATAGACTCCAGATTATGAAAATTCTGCCTAAAGCATCATTTCTAAGAGCCAAACCCTGATATGTGTCAGTCCTCGTTTAACTTTGTGTTGTGCTTTATCTAGCTGCCCCCTAGCTGCATCCCTGATCCTCACCCCTCCAGATTGTTCCCACTCTGAACCCCAGATTAATCCAGATTTAAAGCAGGAAGAATTTAGGCAACTCAGTTCCTCCATTGGGTGGGGCTGAGCGTCCTTGATTCTCCCTGGTAGTTGACATGGAACCAAATGTACTACAGGTTAACATTGGGTCTCTGGGTTAGGTCCTGAGTCACACTTGTGCACATTGTTCCTGGTCCCAAGTCTCAGTGCCAACAGTGGAGTTCTCAATGTTCTGTTTGTTGTAGTCTAATTCTGAATTGCTTTCATTCTTATATACTTATCCTATATCTGAAGTTGCTTGTGTTCATAGGACCACAGTTCTTTCTTAAACGTGCATTCTGAGTTTTTTCTCTTTCTGTTATCCACTAGGGTTCATTTCTTTCTTTCCTTCCTTCCTTTATTTCTTAATGCTTCTTTGTAAAAAAAAAATCCAAACTCAAACTCTGGCTGAGGGACCTGGCCTCCACCACACATGGACAGAATTTCTAGAGACCAAGTGGCTTTCTTTTCAGGTTTCAGGGAATTCCTACACAAATTCCCTCCTAACATACTAGTGGAATGTGCTCCCGTGGATTCTTGGTGGTAACTGTCTAGAGATTGTTGTCTCAATTCCCTGCACAGAGCCTTGTTCATCTAGCTGTTATAACTCTTTTAACAAGTTCTGACCCACTTCTTCTCCAGCTGCTCCCACGTCTGATCTGGTAACCAGATAGCATGCCAAGTTTAGCCCTTCTACCTCCCTCCTAGTCTTCTGTAAGTAGGTCTCTATCTATACCTCCCTAAGGAATCCTGAGGTAGATAGTGGACTGATCTGTGAGTGCATATAGTGGGGTTTATGTTCTTTTTGGTCTGGAGTATATATTTCAATGACTACTACTCAAGATTATTTAATAAGAAAGAGTGAACAATTATTGATGTCTACTATGGGAACAGGAAGGGAAGATATTTCAAGATAGCCCTCTTTGCTAATATTGATTGAACTTGGGACCAACTGAAATCTCCAGCTCTTTGTCATAACAATGCCTGCTGAGGTATGGACAGGGCGAGGCAAAAGTGGGTTTACAATTGTTTATATGGACAATAATACAATAGTTAATAAAGAATAACACAAGAATAAACTGTGTTTCACATACTCACAGCTGTAAAACTACTTTTGCCCCACCCTGTATTTGTACAATTGAGCCTTTGAGCCAAAGGTACAAGACTTTCTATCTGCCTCAGTTAAACTTGCTAGTTTAAGTCTATGTTTTGAACTCTCTTTGGAATTCAATTCTGTCCTCCAGTGTATTAATCGTCACTCCCAGTTCTCTATCAGCTACAGAGCTGAAAAGATATTTTCCATATCTTTATCTAAATTACTGATATCAATGTTGAATAGATTGCGTGCAGTGAGAGCATAATGGCATTCACAACAGCTGCAAAACACGAGCAACCAGAGCAGCTGACACAGGCTTTCTAGAAGCCAGCCACTGGGTTAAGCACTTCATATTGTCACATGGGTTTTCTCATTTTTATCTTTACAACAAATTTACAAATTGATACTATTATTAGCAACTATTACTATCTGTGTTTTACAGATGAAGAAACTGTGGCACAGAGAGTGTTGAGTAACATGGGTAATGTGGTCACCCAGTAAGTGAATGGATGCTCGTTTAATATTCTGTCATCGAAATGCACCTGAACCTGGAAAACCACCCAGTGTTGGTTCCATTTTCTTCAGCTATTTTGCTCTACCTTTCTGCATGAAGAGTTTACTGCTATTCTATTGAAGCAAATAGGACAAGACGAGGGATAATAATATTTCTGTCTTTCATCTAATAGCAAGGACCGTATACGGAGTCATTGGGCTTACCACCCCCTTGTTTTTCTCCCCTAAACCTGACTGCAGATTCCCCCAGTGTTTCCCCAGGCTTTGGTTTATTCTAGGCTTTAATGTTTCTGACATTATTCTAAGAATTTCCGCTCTCATTTGGACCCCTTTCCCTCTTGTGCAGACGTCCAGGTGGAATTTAATCTTGTGGGAGGCCCACTGAACATCGCCTTTGGCTTTGGAGAGGCCTCTCAACCTTTTTCTCTTAGCCTCCAAAAGTGATCAAAGATCATGAGATAGAAATTTCATTTTTAAAACCTCTCATCTCTTTTGAGCAAAAAGTCTTTTAAGCACTCTTGACTGTCTGGTGAGCTCTTTGGGAGATTCTCTCCTAAAACCTACGATGAGTAGATCTGGTTTTGCTCCTCTTTTGTCATTAAAAACTATAAGGGGAGCTTTTCATCTTCTCTCCAAGTTCCTCAGACTTTTGCTACTGCAACCTATTTTTCCTTCTCTAATATTAAGACCAAAAAGGAATATTCCTTCATGTTTGCTTCTTCATTCAGAGAGGTAGGTGAAAATACATGATATTTTAGTATAAGAAACATCTTAATAATAGTTTCAGGAGAATATGATTCAATGTATTGACACTGTTTTTATCTTCTTCGGTGTGTGCTTTTCATACTTATTTTTCATCAAACAGTTCAAATGCTGTGGTTTGATCAGTGGACCTGCTGACTGGGGACAAAATTTTGAAAAATATTCCAAGTCCTGTGAGTGTCCAGATGCACAACTTGCTTCATGTATAAGTTATGGCAACAAAAATGTTTACAATCAGGTAAGAACAAATCAATGTTGGCACAGTAAGTAGTTCTGTTCATTTTTTCTATGTGGAAGTCTTTTAAAAAATTAAATTGCAGCAATTGTAACAGGAATCATGATATAGAAAAGTCCCAGGAATTTCCCAAATAAAAAAGAAATCCTTATTTAAAGATAAAAGCTTAATAAAAAAGATGAAAGTATTTCACTTCTATGAGTCTGGCGTTATTTAAACACAGCTCTCATAGATCAAAGTAGCGTTACGCTGCAAGGGGAGACAGAATACAAAGTCACAGTGAGAGTGTATTTTGTCCTCTCTTCGCTGACTTTCATCTCTATTCTTCTCTATGTTTTTCTATTTTAGCATAAGTTCTAGAAATCTGTATTTTCACTTTAATTTTAAAATTAAAGCTTTTTTTTTCTAATCAAAGATCCCTTCTCTTAAGTAATTGTATAGGTGTAAAGAAATGCTCTGGCTTTTAGGAGCTTCAGCTCTGGATATTCAGTTTACTTACTAATTTGTCTAATTAGCACTCCAATTTAAAAGTTACCTCAGACATTTAAGTCAATTGGAAAAGCTGGGTTTATCTTTTATGTGTTGTAGATGTCATATTTATTATGTCACTTCTGGATGGAAATATGTGAATGTCACATTTCCTATCACTTAATTAATCAAATATTTATAATGGGAATCATGATATAAAAGTCCCAGGAATTTCCCACTTCCTTTGTGCCAGACCTCCTACCAGCCACTGGTGCCTGATTCCTGAGTAGGGCACAGCGCCTGTGCTCACAGAGCTGACGCCCAAAGAGGGACAAGAGGAAAACAATGGGGCAGCTTTTTTCGGTCCCAGGAACTATTGGTGTTTCTTGGATAGGAGCAGGCACAGGTGTTGGGGGGCCCTCACTAGCTCAGTGTTCAGGGTTCAGGGGATGATTCCTAGAGGGCATGATATCTGTCTGTTACTGCAGGGTTTTATATAATTCGTTCCTCTTGCCTGAAAGGAATGTGTACAAAAATGACAGTTACAATTAATAATGTTAATGTGTCATTGATTTGCGATTACACGTCAGTGTCTATTTTGTGTCAGACAAACCCTTACTAGAATCAGACATGCTTCTGGATGCTCTAGGAGATTATAGTCTAGTTGGAAGGGAGACCTGTAACAGCTATTATAATTTGATAAATTAGTTTCTGTAATACTTAAGATTATATTCAATTTAGCATTGGCTTAATAATGGCTACTGAGGTTAATTATATATCAGGAAACAAAGTATCTCAGGAGAAACATGTCTCCAGCTGACTCACATCCCTTTTACTAATCTTATCAAAATTAAAGAGGCTCTGTTTTGAAGGGCAATTGCTGTTACTAGTATTTAAAGTAAATGTGGGGGAGGAATTGTCTATCGGAACATGGAGCTACCATGTCCTTCATTGTCCAAGTAATATCAGTAAAAAAAATGTTGTTCTTACTTTATTATATTCCTCCCTGTTCCCCTCCTCCTTACCTAATGTTAGTGGCACAATATCAACAAGGAAGAGGGAAATAAATATCGGGTAAATAAATGTAGTTTCCGCTTAGGATAATAAGGAAATTAGTAAACTCAATTGCAGATTGCTATCTCCTGTTAAAGATTCAACACAAAGATTTTTTTTTCCTCAGGGCACATTTTGAAAATCTCTACCATTATCCTAAAAATAATAGACATTCCCTCCAAATTCACAGATAATTCAACTGAATACAGGCCGATAGTCTTACCAGTTTCCCAAAAGGAAAGTCATAAATTCATAAAATACTTCCACCTGCCTTGCATTATTTGCAAGAAGTCTGGAAAAGAAAATCTGAAATAGCCATAATTTGTTTCTTTTTTCCCCTCCTCCTTTTTGACAAGATAACCTGTTTATCTAGAAGGAAAGGCAGAGAAAACTCCTCAAGCATAACAAATATGACTCAGTAGACCATCAGTTTCCTAGTTCATCCTAAATAATGTAATAATTTCTTCTAATGTTTACTGCTTTGGGTCAGATGAGAATGGAGAAACCCATTCAGAAATGAAGAAAAAAAAGCCGGTTCCACTAAGCCTCATGGAGAACTTTCATTTTATTTAACAAATAGCAATATTTTGTTGGCCTTTTGCACATGTAAGGCTCTCATGGGGAAGATATATTTTCTGGCCATACAGACCATAGAACTATTACATTGTGTAGTATTTTTCATTTTTAAAGTTACTCATATAATTTACAATTTTTGGAATTTTTAGGTTGGTCTGGAATGTTTTAAGCTTGGAATTGTACACTGGTTTGAGTAAATTTTGAAATAATGTGGTAGACATGTAACTTCCCAGATTCTCTTTTTTATCTAAGTTACGGACCTAATAGTAGACATATGATTTTTTTATTTTTAAGGTAAAAATAAACCTGGTATATATTAGAAAGGTATTTTTGAAAAATCTTGTAAAATTGAAAATTTTCACCATGATTAGCTGAAACCCCAACCAGGGAACTCCGCCATAGATTATAAGCCTAAAACAATACATAGTCAAGGTGATAACAGCTCTAAGATTATAAATTAAGATAAAATTATTATTTATAACTAAAGATCCTTAGATTCAGCAATGACATAATTGAAGCAAAATTTTGCTCCCTAAGTGCTTTCTAATATATGAACAAACCACAATTACAACCTTTCAGAGGGCAGAGGAGCTTGAAGTGGAGGAAATAATCCAATTTCTTTTTGTTGACTATGTTTTTTGGTAACAGTGTAAAAATATCAACCGAATGCAAAAAAATCTTAATTTAAATAATATAATCAAAATTTGATTAAAGGTGACATTTTTATGTTTTGTTTTTTTTTAACAGCCATGCATTTCTTTGATACAAGACGTACTTAAAAAACATATTATCATAATTATTGGAATAGCATTTGGACTGGCAGTTATTGAGGTATAGTATATTCTTTCATTATTGACTCTTTATATTTAATCCCTTGTTTGTTCCATTAATTCTCCTAACACAAATTTATGGTGAGCCAGGTAAATATCTGGTGTTTCTGAGCAACACTGGGTATCAAGTCCCCAGAGGCCTGCATCACCCTCTGTCAGTCTTGGGATTGAGGAGGGGATTACCATTTTATGAATTGAGCAGAGCTAAGCCTATTATTTCTGAATGGTCTCACTACTGGGAAATAAAAATTGATTTGATAACCACATTGTTCTTAGTCCCAGATATCTTGTTCTCATTGAAAACTAATACAAGAGTTAAAGTTAGAAGACAGAGCTCCAGACAAATCCAAAACACAACCTTTACATTTTCTTATACCTCCTGATTTTGAAACAGAAAATAAAAACTGAACTCAGGAGTGTGGGGAGCTATTGTCCTGCTATTCCATTCTAGAGAAATCTAACAAGTTCTAAAAACTCAAAACAGTTGCCTTTGATTTTCTCACTGTAAGGACTATGGACTCACTTCAAGAAGTTTTAAAGGAAGCTGTTCTTGAGGTTTATGTATTTACTCTCATCAATTTGATTATTGATGTTGATGGGCTTTCTTGGCATTTTTTATATATAATGCAATTTTTTTTAAAGAGAAGGTTTATTTATTTATTTATTTTAAATTGTTGTTCAAGTACAGTTGTCTACATTTTCACCCCACCACAGCTCCCCGCCCCAACCACCCCCACCTCCTACTCTCGAACCAACCCCCTTTGGCTTTGTCCGTATGTCCTTCATCCCTTCATTCCTTGATAGACCTTCCCTTACTTTCCCCCACTATCCTCTTCTCCCTCCCCTCTGGTCACTGTCAGTTTGTTCTTTATTTTAGTGGTGTTTTTTGGTACCTTTCACACAGCCTAAAAATCTTTGCCAAAAAGATGACATAAAACTATTTCAGAGAAGCATTTTTAAAGTCACCCTAGATCTTGGGGCATTTAGATATCAAGTGAGTTGCACCCTGTTCAGGGTAGGATGTTGGCAAGAATCCTAACGATGTGTGGATTCTTTTTGGTTAATGTCTCTGAGGGCTGATTAGCTCAGCTGAGTGACCACGGCTTCACTCTCATGGAATGCTGGACAATGCTCCCCTTAGGATTTCTAGTAGCTTTTTATTTTTTACTTGTGCCATATCACTGCCAGAAAGGAATTTTAGCAGGGATTGAAGCAATTTAGTGTTCTAAGTGGTCATTTAAGTTACTGGTGGAATCACCCAGCCAACCATTAGGACCAGCTATAAATGGGGATGTTGAGTATTACTTGCTGGTAGCCAAGAATAAGTCTAAACATGAAACATTCTCTGCTGGGAACATGGCTGTCTTTCTTTATGTCTGATATGTGACCAAAGTTGAATGGCGTTGTGTATCAAGTCTATTTCTCTCAATTCTGCCTTTTGTCAAATGTCCTTTATTTGTTTGCTTTGTATTCTTTATTTTAAAGATTTTATTTATTTTTAGAGAGAGGGGATGAGAAGGAGAAAGAGAGGGAGAGAAACATCGGTGTGTGGTTGCCTCTCACATGCTCCCTACTGGGGACCTGGCCTGCAACCCAGGCATGTGCCCTGACTGGGAATGGAACCGGTGACTCTGTGTTTCAGAGTCCTGCACTCAATCCACTGAGCCACACCAACCAGGGCTCTGCTTTGTATTCTGAGTTAATTCTAACTTAGTAATATGAGCTAGTGGCCATAGTGAGTGAGGAATCACACCCATGTATACTCATACATTTGTAAACATAAATCACGTACCACCTGTTGCTAGGCTAGACTTTAAATGAATGATTGAAAGAGCAGGTTTTCAATGAAGTATTTAGTGCAAGTGTCAATGTAAGTGTCAAATTCCATGTTAGACTCAAATTGACTATGACTGGCTACAACCCACAGATCCTTTTAAGAAGCTTCTCAAAAGGATAGTCATAGAAAATAAGCACATAATCAACTGGGGAGATTGATATCTCTCATACCATAGTTAAAGGTATTGCCAAGAATCTAAATACATCTAATTCAAGGTAAGAGTACAAGAGAAGTACCATATTCTATGAACTTGGTATATCCATGTGTTGTTACATATTTAGATATGTTATTGGTTGTTCTAAAGACATGGTTAGAGAAATACCTTAATAAAAACCTTGTTTATAGGTATGGAACTTATATATGTTAATATCATAAAACATAACATTTTTTAGTTAAGTATGATTTATACACTATATGTAGGTATGATAGTTGGTTCAAAGAATAGTAGCTTTGAAAACAGTCTTCTGATATTCAGTCTATAAAAATGGATCCAAAATAATGTACATTAGTACGTCTTATAGTCATTAATCCTAGTTGCTTAATACTTAGGCCCATTTTGAAGGCTTAATACTTAGGCCTTGTTTCCCAAATTCAAGAAAACACAGAGACTCAGAGACAGAAAAAAATTCCTCTAATAAATATTTTTAAGAAGAAAACAGGGGCAAATATCTCCATGCAGGAAATACGCTCAAACTATCTCCATAACAAATCGTGTGAAAAAGTTTATCCTCTGACATTTAAAGCTTTGGCATCAGCCTGTTCAGGAATAGGCTCTGATGAAGGGCTGGCAGTTCTTTTCAAGGCTCTGCTAAGACCACATACCTGAGGGATTCTTCTTCTACCAGGATGCTATGGATCTATGCAAAATGCTGGAGTTTGTAAGGATATTTTATTTATAGACAGTTTTGGAGTTCTTGTTATTCCAAGCTGAAAAACCAGACTACCATATCTCTCCTTATTTGACTATAGCAACTTAAAAGCACAAAAAATAATCAGTACTTTCTCCTCTCACTTCAGCTGAGGGAAAAAAAGCCACTGACATGGACAATCATCATCGTGTAGAGTACAAGTTATTCTGACAGGATCCCAGGAATAGCACAGTTCATAGAGAGAAAAATGATAATTTTACATTTTTTAGGCTGCTCCTGAATATGGGAACACATTCACATTACTTACAGCAAGTTTATCCTGAGTCTTTGCATACATTACCACACAATGAATCTCTTCAATTACTTGCTATTTTTATGAACAGTGATAAATTTTCTTTTCAGAGGCAGTCAGGTGCAAAAAAGTGAGAAGTTAACTGTCTAATCTGCTGATAGATGGTGGGTTTCTATTTGAAGAATGTGACAGTGAAAGATGATAGTTGCCTAATCCCAGTATTTTGCCCATTTTCTTTACTCTTTCCTGATACTTGTCTCCCAGACTTGAGGCTTGAGACCAAGACAAAAAGGCTAAATTTCAAGGCTTTTTGAAGTCATTCTAAAAGAATGACTTTGAGAACACTCCAAAAATCATTATTTTTTGCAGAGTATTGATGTTCACTTTTTTTTAAGAAGACAAATATTGGGCAGTAGTTCTCATTTGAAATGCATTTCAGAAAATAATTATTAAGCAGGATGTCTTAAAACAGTAGGAGCACTTGAGATGACTCAGTGTAAATGGTAGCTCATCCTCCTCCTCCCTCTCCTCAAAGCAGGCCGGTGGGGAGGAAACTTTTGATTTGTAATACACATCAGTCTTTCTACATCAAAGCCACAGCATGCAAGTCACCAACTGCAAAGACAGTAAGGGCAAGTTTTAGTGTCCTTTATTCTTGGTAGAGCCGCTTAATGAGCTGGAAACTATGCCCCAGATTTTCAGCTGCGTTTTTTCACTTCAAAGGAAATTTCTGAGTTAAGCTTATTCTCTATAGATTTAGAAGTTTTTAAATAAAAAATTACTTATTTTTCATTCCTCTTGGTAATGTCTAACTATGGCAAGAGAAATTCTAGACTCCTTGATTTTCATGCAGGTGATCTAAACCAGATGATCATAACACTTTTCTGGAAGCAACAGATATATTGAGCTGCCAGAGGCCTGAGGTCCTCTGAGCTCTAGGGCAGATACCCCCAGAAAGGTGTGTGTGTCCAGAAGGGTGGATGCTCTGTGGTAGCTGCTACTGAACAACCAGAAAGGGCAGGTTAGAGGTGGAATGGTTAGCTGAAAACCTCGATTAAGACACAGAATACTCAGAGAGCTTTCTCAGTGCGCTTTTGTCCCACGAGAGTCTCTAATTTCCCATGAAGAGAGATAGATGACTTAGATAAATAAAATTAAGACTGTCAATAGCCAGAATCTTTCCATATATGATGTTCTTTCTGTCTGTTTATAATGTCTCCAGCATTTTCCCTTAAATTCCATGTTAACTCTATTATTTTATTTTCTAGATACTCGGTCTGATATTTTCTATGGTCCTGTTCTGCCAGATTGGAAGCAAATGAATCTGTGGATGTGTGGAGCTATCATCAGTCAAATTGCTTTGAAATTTTGCTTTGGCTTTGTGATTTTAAATATATAAGTGTTGCATGTGTTAGGAGCAGCCGTTCTATTAAAATTTCTCATTTAGCTGGGCTATGTCTTCCAGACGTGTTGAACATATTTAGGATTTCAGTAATACTAGGAAAATGATATGGATGTACATTTTTACTCAAAATAAAAGTAAGTTTCTTTATATTGGTGCCTTTTTTGTGTCTGATCACTATGTTCAGGGGGTACTGTGCTGAAAACACTCTTCTGGAGCCACCCAGTGGACCCGTCTTCGTCTCTGAGTGACAGTTCGTTCAGGCAGTGCACCCAGGCTTTTCAGAAGCAGCACTTGGTTTTGTGTGGTGTATCCCATGCTAGTGACAAGATTAGATTAAGCCAAGTTGAAAGATTGGGAGAGTGGCCTGGCTCTTTTCTATTTATGCCACTGTCTACTAATGATGTCTCTCATTCCTCTCTAATGATTATGGGGACAAGATGGTACGAATGCCATCTTTTCAGCCACTAAATCTTTGGTTCCTCTCTGGACCTTCCTCTGGAACATGGTTAGAATAGCTTCTATCTTTCTAGTTCTCACAGACATTTTTACATTTTACCTTTTATTGAGGTACAGTATACACATAATGAAGTGAACACATCTTAAGAATACACCTGTATAAGCACTATGCAGATCAAGATAAAGGGCATTCCCAGCACATCAGGATGCCTCAGTAGTGTGCTAGGGCTGGCTCACACACACTTGCCAGAGCAGACTGTGTGTGTGTACCCCCTTCCCCAACTCTGGGCTCCGTGACATCGCATTACTACCTTGGAATCCAGCATGGAGGGAGCATTTACACCATGGAGACTGGCAAATGATAGAAAGCCAGAGATTCTGTGGGGTTTTCTTTGAGAGCTGATTGTTAAACTTGTATTGCTATACCACTGCTCTCTTCTCAGCAAAAACTCCAAAGATTACTACTCTTCTGAATTTTATGACCACAGATTCACTTTGCCTACTTTTAACTTCCTATAAATGGAATAGTAAAATAGGCACTCTGGCTTATTTTCCCTCAACATTTTGTTTGTGAGATTCATCTATATCATTGCATGCAACCAAAGTTAATTATCATCATTATGTAGTAGTTCATTATAGAAATATATATCATCACATATTTACCCATCCTTCTGTTGATAAGCCTTGGGTTTGCTTCCAATTAGGCCTTATTGTGAAAAAAGCTGCTAAAAACATTCTCTTTAAGTATGTATATGTACTCATTTCTGGGCAGACATGCAGAAGTGGAATTGCTTCACAGATTTAATAGATTCTGTCTAGAAATTTTCTAAAGTGGTTATACTAATCTATATTCATACTAGAAAAGTATCATAGACTCAGTTTCCTCTTCTGAGGAAGAGAAAGAAGAAAGGCGGTCATTGTCCCATAGTCAGAATGACCAGTAAAGCGTGGAAACTGGGGCACCCTGGCTGGCTTAGACAGCCTGAGTCTGTACTCCCCTACTGATGTGACGGCAGCTGTCTGTCTCTGAGCATACCATCCCCCAGAAACCATACCAAAACTGCACTTTTCTTATCCCATATTTTTCTTACCACATCCTTGTGAGGTAGATTAGCATTCTCATTTTGTTGGTGAGAAAATAGAGAACCAGAACTCTAAGCCCAGAGCCGAACTACTAGTGATTGGTGACACTAGGGTTCAAACCTTGATGATGGTCTCCCCAATCCTGGCTGAGGGTCATGCTTGAATTGGCTTTCCCATGATATGTCTATTAATAAATTTGCTATGTTTTATTATAATTACTTGCAACTCCTTAAAGGCATTATTTGTTGTTTGTCATTATGTCCCCAGTACCCATTAAATGTGTACCTATTATGTGCTTGGCACATAATAGGCTCTCAATAAATTGTAGCTAAAAATAATACTTAGATTTAGTGAGAGGTTATTATGAGCCTAAAAATATTCTAAGCCCTTAGCATAGGGTAACTCGTTTAATCCAGAATGACCTTCTTAGGTTAGAACTATTATTAGACCCAGTTTACAGATGAGGAAACCAGGGTCCAGTGAGGTTAACTAAGTTTTTTTAGGAGAGGCAGCTAGTAAAGTAGGGATGCTGCAATTCGGTCTAAGTGACTGAAAACATATGCTCTTTGTGTCACATCACCCTGCCCTGCCTGACAGTGTTATTGGGAGAGACATATGGAAGAGAGTGTGGAAGTGCACAAACTAATATTTGCTGGTATCAATGTTAGAAAGAATTATGTCAGGATGGGCAGGAAAACAAAAACTATCTATTTAAATAATGGAAATATAACACAGGGAATTGCTGTATTAGGCAGCTTGAGGGGCCATAACAAAATACTGTTGTCTAGGGGATTAAACAACAGAGACAACTTCTCTTCCAGTTCTGGAAGCTGGAAGTCCAAGCTCAGGGTGTTGGCAGATTCTGTCCCTGGTGGGAGCTCTCTTTCTAGCTCACAGAGGGATTACCTTCTTCTGTGTCTTCACATGGCACAGAGAGAAAGGAGGAGCTCCTGGGCTCTTATAAAAACACTAATCCTATTGGATCAGGGTTTGCCCTTAAGATATCATTTAACCTGAATGACTTCCTGACTCCAAATACAGCTACCCTGAAGGTTAGGGCCCAAATATGAATTTGGGGAGGGAGGGGACAAAATTCAGTTCATAGCAACTGCTTACACAGATGATGGAAGAAGAAGCCAAAGGGGAGAGCAAGGGAAGCCAGAAACTGGCAACAGTAAGAAGTTGCTACCACCCTTGGGACTGGAAAAACACAATTAATGTAACCTTAGCCCAGCATCCAGGGCCTCCTGGTGGAAGATGGAACCCATGGCCGGGACCACAGAGGGAACATTATCAGAACAGAGAAAGGGGGGACTGTCCCAGTTCATTCCCTCTGGCCCATTCCAGTCTTTTGCCATTACCTCCCATTGGCTGAAATCGCCTAGCAACCAGAAAACAAAAGAGCCTGGGCAATGTTGTTTCTTGCGACACAAAGTGAAGCTGGGAGTGGCCAGCAGACAGGGAAGATGGTCACAGATTTAAAGAGCAAACACAGGTGCTGAGCTTTTTGACTAAAGTGTATGACACTGTAGAAAGCATAACAGATTTAACATTCTTCTGAGAAATGGTACAAAGTTTGCAAGGTTCTTTCTGTTTTGACAAAAATTCAAATCATTTTAGGGATAGAGAGAAATTTTTAGGGCTGTTGTTCATAACTGGGAAACATTTGCCTAGGGATTTTTGGCAATGTTTGGAGATATTTTTGGTTGTCACAAATGGTGTGGAAGGGGAATGTTATTGGACTTTAGTAGGTAAAGGCCAGGGATGTGGCTACATGTCCCACAGTGCGCAAGAATGTGCCTTCATAACAAAGAATCACATGGCCCAAAATGCCCATAGTACTGTGCTTGTGAAGTCCTGCTTTAGAGAATCACAGCTGAATAACAAAATGTCTCCTTGCCAGGGGGCAGTAAGGTGCTCGTTATTGTGGAAAGTAAATGGGATTGGAGTCAGGAGTCACTTTAGATCAGGCTTCTAACTTGATGGCTTTGTAATCTTTGCAAGTCACTTAGATTTCATCAACTCCAAATGAGAAATTTTATCTAGAAGATATTTATTTGCTTGTGATAGTTCATTGAAGTTTTAATTTTGATCTTTGGTACTGGAGGTGATTATGAGGGAAGCTTTTACTGTCTTGAAGGATATTAAAATCAGATTTATGAATAAGCTTATACTTATTTTCATGCTTCCAAGAACAAACCACAATGTTAAAAAACATTGTTTTATTAAATCACTTAAGAACATAGTAAAAAAAAATAAGAAGGAACTGTGACCAAATTGATAACTCAGTGTAGGTAGATATGTTTCTTCTAATTAAGAGAAATGTAGAAATTATCTCTATTATGTTTAATATTGTACAATTGTACTCATATGTATATATAATGTATATGACATTTTGACAAATGCTTTTCAGATCTGCTCATTCCTCTGCTTTCCTGTGTCTACCAGCCTCTCTGATCTCTCATAATCCCTCCTAGGGTAGAAATAGCTCATGGTCTATTCAATATCCTTTCTTTCTTTGTCTACCCTACTGATACATCTGATTTTGTTGGAGAGTAATGAACCTGAATAAAGTATTTATTTCCTCCCACCTACTGGAGTGAAACTCCTCTCTAACACACCTAGCAAACACACAAAGAATACACATAATTTGTGAGTGTTTCTTGTCTTCCACAGCAGCAGGCTGCTCCCATTTTTAATTAACCTTTCAACAATGTAAGAGCATCTTTTAAGTGACTAAATTTATTGGACCCCACATAGAACATTGAAATAGAATTTTATCATACTTGATAAAAGAGACACCTTCTGATGCCTATAATCTAAACTGAAGAAGAGTCACATAATTTGAACTGTGCACAGTAGAAAAAATGTAACTTCTTCACTACCCTAGACTGGAAAGGACACTGAGATGGCTGTGTTGGGTGATAATACGAGCCATTCCTAAGCATCTTCCTTGGAGAGTTAGTTCTGTACTAGACAGTGAACTACTATCAAAGGTGGGATATTGTTTCAAATTACCCCAAGGTCTGTTTCTGGACTCTGTCTTGTTCTATCCTTGGACCAATACACTGTTGTTGAACATTATAACACTTGATATAAAATAGAATAAGCTCTCTCACTTTGTTGTTGAGTGCTGTGGCTATTCCCCCATGTTTCTGTAGAAATTTTATAACTAGCTTGTCAATTTTCGTACACACACACACACACACACACACACACTCCTACTAGAATTTTTATTAAGATTGCTTTCAATCTATAGCTTATATCTTTACAATGTTGAGTCTCCCCATCCATGGTGTAGCTACCCATTTATTTAATTCTCTTTAATTTCTGTTAATAATGTTTTAGATTTTTTCTGTTAGAAATCTTTCAGTTCTTTGAATTATTATTTTTTTTGGCATTTCAATTACTTTATTAAAATGTATCTCCCTTAGTACCAAAACATAATGGTAGTTGGTTAGGTTACCTCTACCAACTCAAAATTAACACGGATGTGATCAAAACATTGAAATGTATCAGCCTTTTGCGAAAACTGAGGTTATCCACAAAACATTGTTTATAAAGTATACTGTGGTTCTTTGGCTTACTTTCCAGTATGTATTTATTTA